TAAAAAAAGTACCAGGTACTGTACCCAGTGGAAAACCCCCCAAAACTGAACCGTACCGAGCCGTACCATGCAGTGGAAAAGCGCCATAACATACCTCTTGAACGGCTCTCTGTGTGGCCGTATCTGGAGACTGTGAGTCCTTCAGCAGCTGCAGCACCTGCTGTAAACCCTGTTCATCCGGCTGCCACTCCATCCTGAGCCACACACACACACACAGACACACACACACAGAGACAGACACACACAGACAGACACACACACACAGAAACACAGAGGACAAATGAGTGCACTACATCAAAACACACACACCCTCCTGGCCATCACTGCTTTCTTGGCACAGTTTTAGGAAGAAAGAATTGAAGTGAGCAAATAACACACATAACTATCATCCACAGACACATGCATTCAGAATAAATACCTGGTTTAAAACACTTTTAATTGTTGAAGCCAGGCTAATCCAGCGCGAGAACCTGGATGGCAGGGTTACACATCAGCTTTACCATCTGATCTGCTTTAGTGGGATCGTGGCAGACGCGAGTGTGAATGTGCGAGGAGGCTGTGATGTGTGAGCGTCTGACTTACGTGTGGGCTGTGTGTGAATGTGCGAGTATTTCTTCAGTGGCTCTGCAAATACTCAGGAAGATGCTTGGGTTTCATTTAATATCAATTGTTTCATTGCATGTGCTACTATTTCTTCTGCATAACAATTTAAGTGTAAAGATTAATTTGAGGATGTCAGCAGCAACCAAACCTGAAATCCTGTTTACCAGCATGATTTAAAATGTTTTAATGGAAGAACATTTAATCGTTTGTACATTATAAATGTCACTCAGTTTTGCGTAGACACATAGAAATAGCGCAGAATACTCAAAAATGTCTCATTTTGTCACGAAGTTGCTTTGTTTTACTTTTTCAAATTCCTAAAACTTGATTACAAAGTTCCGATTTGTATGTGTGTGTACTTATTTTTTAGTACATAAGTGTTTGTATAAATATCTATCAAAGTGAGTTTATCTACATATCTATCAAGCTATATATGTATATATACACGTATACTACATACATACAGTTAGTTAGTTATATGGATACGTGTGCATACATATGTGACCATGGAGCACAAAAGCAGTCATAAGTAGCACAGGTATATTTGTTGTAAGAGACAAAAATACATTGTATGGGTCAAAATGATCGATTTTTCTGTTATGCCAAAAATCACTAGGATATTAAAGATCATATTCCGAGAAGATATTTTGTAAATTTCCTACCGTAAATATATCAAAACATAATTTTTGATTAGTAATATGCATTGCTAAGGACTTAATTTGGACAACTTTAAAGGCGATTTTCACAATATTTAGATTTTTTTGCTCCCTCAGATTCCAGATTTTTTTTTAAATTGTTGTCTCTCAGAAAAATATTGTCCTTTTATAATCTTAAAAATATTATCCTAACAAACCATACATCAATGGAAAGCTTATTTATTCAGCTTTCAGATGATGTATAAATCTCAGTTTTGAAAAATTGGCCCTTATGACTGGTTTTGTTGTCCAGGGTTACATATACACATACAATATTATAAACATATGACTGAGAAGTGTGTGTTTGTGTGTACGTTTGAGTACGGTGTGAACATGTGTTAGTGTGTGTGTACATGTATGTGAGTGTGTATGTGTGGTGTTTATATGTATAATCTCTGTGTGTGTATATATATATATATATATATATATATATATATGAGTGTGTAGGCCGTGTGTGTGTGTTTACGCAGCCCGGTTTAACCCAATTCCCCAGCTCACATCAGACGTGTTAACCGATCACACATTAAATAAAACGCATTAAACCCGTTATATATGCGTGATGAGTGTGTATAATGATGCGGAATAAACACACACGGACGCTTATGTAGCCGTTAGCTGCTGTGCTAACCCGCCAAACGCTCTCACCTTCAGTCAGTGTTTTTCTCTCTCTCTGTGTGTGTGTCTGGGTGTATCTCTCTCTCTGCCGCGGTACAAGCGCTGATAGCCGTCGGTTCGCGGTAACGGATGGCTCGCCGCGGGTTTCTGCGTGATTTCTGTGGGATTTAATCGGCGTGTTTGCTGTTATTTTTCTTTCACCGGCGGCGCCTGATGCAAGGCGGACGCGTTAATCGCGCGGTGTGGATCTGAGCGGCTTCCGTACCGTGACGCTGACGTCATGTCTCATTAACATAAAACGAAATGAAACTCTAATACCGACCATAAGGGTTTTATTTAAAAAAAAAAAAAAAAGCTAGATATATTGACTAACACATATTGTGCTCTATATTTCGTGAATGAAGGTTTATGGGGGATATAACTTAATTTTAGAGGTATGTAATTCATCCTGTGACCTGTAGATGGAGACAAAGAAGCAATAACGGGTCACTCAGGTTCATTACTATGCAGTGTTGGGAAGGTTACTTCGGAAATGTAATAAGTTACCCTATTTAAAATGTAATAATAAGTAGTGCAACTTTCAATTACTTTGTTAAAGTAATGTAACTGTTTACATTTGATTACTTTTAGATTAATTTTCTAACTTTAAATTTCTAAATTGTTTCTAAATAATTATTTTCGAACATTTAAAGCAGGCAGGGTCAGCCTTACAGCAGCACTCAACACAGACTTTCAAAATCCTTCATCACTTGAATTAAGATTATAATACAGTTTTTTACGATTGCTTAAGCACAATTTTGAAAACAGGGCCCGGTTTGTCAAAACACTACACACAATTAACACAACCCTACACCAAAGTAGCACAACACTTCAGATCATTTGCAAAATGGAACACTTTTGTCAAAACTATACACAACTTTATAAAAACAATATTTTGTTACCGTTGAGATCGTTCTGAGGTTAAATACAGATTTAATGTATTAACTAGATATAGTTTAATAGCTATGATATTGTTTTTTTTGTTGGTTTATTTGTTTTTTGAAATCAAATCTTTGCATAGTGATGACAGGAAACGCTGGCATCTAACAATGCCTTGGAAAGCATTTACATAAACCTATCAAATAAGAAATAAAACAGTTATCGAATAAACATTTGTCCTAAACTCCTGAAACATTTGTGTCTCGTATTTTACAGCAATTTAGGAAGAAAGTCAATTAAATCTCTCTCTCTCTCTCTCTCTCTCTCTCTCTGTGTGTGTGTGTGTGTGTGTGTGTAATCGTTAACATTTTCATATGTAACTGTTATTTAATTACAGTAACTGTAACTGATTAGTTGCATTTATTTTGTAATTAAATTACGTAATTCAGTTACATGTAACTACTTACTCCTCAACACTGATAATATGGTATGTTGATATACCACAATAATTTGTGATTATTACCATATTCATACATATTTGCATGCAGGGTGAGATTTGTGAACAAACTAGAGGGGGGTTTACAAAATATATATAATTTGAATTTAACTTTCATGAACAGTTATCATTTGGGGGGGGGGCTGTTATTTTGCATTTAAATTAAAATTTATATAAATTGAAGAATTTTTATTCAGTTTTATTATTTCAAATGAAATATTAAGTGAAGAAAGAGACGTATATCTTTGAGAGCATTGCGGGCATACAGTGTCCAGTGAGGTCTGTTGTGTTGTATTTTGCACGTTTTATTAACTGTGATTTTCTGTGTAATTTATTCAGATTAATTTGCATAATGAGCTGAATACAGTACAAACTGCACAAAGTAGTATGCTAATATATTTTAAGCTAAGCCATCTGTTGGCTTTTCCATTCTTTTTTATTTAGTTTATAATTCAAGCGTCTGTAAACTTTATATTAAAATGATTTTAATAACCACGTGACCCCAAACTCTATCGCAATCAAAACTTTATTCCAGTTTGCTGTTAGTAACCATACAAGAGAATCACAAGAACGGAGATGAGCAGTTTTTGAATGGACTGACAAACAGGCTCTTCGCTTTGGCTAAAATCTGCTATATCTACATCTCTGACACACATATATTTCAGTATTTCATACAAACTTCAACAACCTCTCCACCTTCATTCTTCAGGTTGGAGTGAGCGTAGGGGCGAGGAAGGGCAGAAATGGGGTCACGCAGTCCTTTAACACAACGAGCTGATTTCGCTCTTACTGCAGCCCCATTTACAGCAGGCGTTAGACAGCCCGACCACCACGTCCCGCCCCTTCCTGTCTGACGAGCGCAAGGCCTCCAGCACTTCCTCTGAGATAAGCGAGCGGGCGGGCCGGCTGAACACGGGGCCCTCCTGGCCCTCTCCCGCCCAGGCAGGGGCCTCTGCGTCAGGACGGGGTCTGTATGACAGTCCAGGGACGATGGGGTTTGCGGCCCAGCTGTCAGAGGCCTTGTCGTCATGAGCGGAGAGCAGATCACTGGAGAGGTCACCTGATCAGAGAACAACACCACAAAGATATGCCACTCACTGTTACTGTCATAGTTACTGTGAGTGATTCAAACGAACCCTTAAACTTTAGCTTTAAACTTCAGCACATAACTCGTCATGCAGAGTTTGTGTACTAGAAGTGAATGGATCCTCAAATCATGTGTCTCGTTGAAGATAGGTGTGCTGTTGTTTTACTAAGTGATCAGACTTGTGATTTGTCACCTGGTAGATGATAAAATGGGTGAGAATCCTAACAAATAAACATTGAATGACAAACATCAGCCACAGAGACAAGAATATGACAGAAACTTGAGATGAGACTCTTTTGGCCAGTAAACAACCACATAGCAACCACCCCAAACAACCTAGCAACTGCATAGCAACACCCTGCCAACCAGCAGCATCATGTCAGGTAATTTTATACACACACACAAACACAATAATTATATTAAAATGGTTTTATTATATATATATATATATATATATACACTTTAATTAACATAATTAATTAATTATTAATAACAATACTGTAATAACAGTGTATATATACGTACATGTATATGTGTGTATACAACAATATTACAATAAATTAACAATGTAATGAATAACAATTTAATTACTTAATCATATCAATTATTATTATTATTAAATAAATAATATATGTTTTTATTGTTGTACTCTAAAGATCATTTAGTTATTATTCATTATTTGTTTATCATTAGTTATTATCATCATTAGTTATTATCATCATTATTTAGTTTTTTATTTCTTTTTTAAGAAAGAGGTTAATTTTTATTCCTTTTTTAAGAACTTATATAAAAATGGGTTTGTGGATTACATGTAGTTCAATTTGCCCTCTGTGGGTATTATCAATAATAATACAAATAAATTTTTTTACGGCATGTGGTTCAATTTGCCCTCTAAATGTACACTGTAAAAAAAACTGTGACATTTACAGTAAAATACCAGCAGCTGTGGTTGCCAGAACTTCATCGTTAAAAATATGGCAGAAACATTTTAGGTTTTACGGATTTAACTTAAATTCACAATAAAAAAACGTATTTCATTAACTGATGTAATGTTAATAAACCAGCATATTGAAGTACTAATATCTGTTTTAAACCATTGTAATGCTGATAACCACCAAAAACAGGTGGGGATGAGAAAGTCACATGATGAATCAAAGCTCATCACAATCAGCTCTTCCACAAGCTGAGAAGGGAAATACTTATATATATATACATAGAAGGTGCACAGTGTCATTCACACAAACACTAAACCCCATCATGGTGACACACATGATACTGAAATAATGCAATAAACATTAATTTAACAACATTAGATGTAAGATTAAACCCTAATGTACACAACTGATAAGGGAAAACTAAGGAGAAACATAGTTATTTCAACGAAAAAACATAAAATATGAAGTGTCATGCAGGGAATTCTGGGAGAGTCAATTAACAGTTTTTCACTGTAAATTATACAATGACTTTTTCTTTTTCACTTCTAAAAACCGTATTTTTAACAGTATTTTACTGTAAAATTACATTAAATGTAATTACAGTTATTCACCGTATATAGTATGGAATCTTACTGATAATCAATTAACAGGTTTTTATTGTAGCATTTTTACAGTCTTTTACTGTTAAAATCACAATCATTTTTATCAATAATAATAATAATTATTATTATTATTATTATTATTAAATAAATAATGTATGTTTTTATTGTTGTAGCCTAATAGTCATTTAGTAATTATTGTGTCAAAATAACTCAAAGCTATATGCAAAAGTACAATTAAATACATTTTGTATATAAATGTATGTTGTATTAAAGCTATGGAAGGAAAATTGGGTTCCTCTAAATGTGTGTGTGTTGTATTGGAATAAACGAATACACAGTAAACACAACTCCTGGTTTTTTACTTCATGTCTGTCTCATACCTGAAACGTCCAGAGACCTCCTCCATCGCGAGCCTCCGCAGGTGAAGATGACCGCCCGGATGAACTCTCTGCCGCACAGCTTCACTCCGTAGACCGGGTGTCCGTCTGTGGCCCGAGCGCCGCCCAGCAGCGCCACCAGCAGGCCGAGTGTGAGAACTGCAGCTTTACACATGACCACCACACAGACGAGAGGGGCTGGAAATGTTTCTCACTGCTCCTTGTTGGTCAGAAAGATGGTCTAACCTCTTGTTGCCCTGCTGTGTCTTTTATAGTGGCTCATGGAGCCTGTGCTGCTGCGTCAGTCAGATGGACCGTGATAGCAGGGCAGAGACCTTGTGCACCTCTAAGGAGGTGATGTCGGATGAAGCGACCTAATCTCATCACTCCTGACCTTTTTGTTGTCATACACTCGGTCTAATCGCACAAAATGTGGAATGAATTATGAAGTTGCACACTCACGCTGACACAAACGCTGCACTTTTAATCAGATGCATGTAAATGCTCACATTATTAGTCTATAGTGCCACATTTTATTTAATCCGAATGTAAATGCTTTTCTAAACCAAGTTTATTATATTTTACCTAAATGCCACAATGCTTAATCCTTGTGAATTGTTTTGATGTTGTTAATAAATACATTTTAAGAATGTAAAAATTAATAATATTATTAATATAAAAGTTATGATTCTAGTAATACTAGAACAAATATTTCACACATTAAATGCAAGTTTTAAAAGTTATTGAAACATATATGGTACACTTTGACCACAGATTCATTTTTCTAATGAACAGAAAACTGAAACCCAAGACTTGTTTACTTTCATGCAAATGTGTTACATGGGAATAATAATAATATAATAACTGATCCTGTGTGTGAGGTCATGTGAAACACATAAACCAAGATCCAATCTGAGGTAATTCACTGGCAGTGCTGGATAGATTACTTACAAAATTGTAGTTTGTTACTGAAATACAGATTACATGAGGAAAATTGTGGTCAGCAATGTAATCTCTAGGTTATTCATTTTAGGTAATGTATTCTGACTACTTTTTATATTACTTTTCCCCTATCATTTCTTCCGCTAAATGTAAATTTACACGTACATGGCCATTCTATAGTGTGACTATAGCCAAAGCTAAATGTATGGCAAAGTAGGATTTTTGGAATGGAAACTTTAAAGGGGTCATATGATGCGATTTCATTTTTTCCTTTCTAAAAAGAAGAATTAGGGAGAATCAATAAATTATGAATATTTTACTGGCACTTTATGAATATGTAATCACGTAATCCATAAAAAAAATAATCTGATTATAAGCATTTTAAAATGTAATCGAGTACTCAATTGAAATCTGATTACGTAATCCAGATTACACAGAGATTTACTACCCAGCACTGTACTGTATGATTTCCATATTCCATGAAACATCACCAATACACAATAAAGATTTAAAGAATATTAAGCGTACACAGTGCAGGCTGGTTTAGCTGACCTCTCGTGACACGAGGTGCCCGGATGACATTTCAAACAGATAAGAGGATATAGATGTGAGAACTGAGTGATTGTTACGTGTGTGTGTGTGTGTGTGTGTGTGTGTGTGTGTGGTTATTAAGAGTCCCAGCACCTCAGAAACCGGCTTATAAGCGTATCAGCAAAAGCCTGTTTCTTCATAATCATACAGTCACGAGATAAGAAAGTCTGGACAATATGATTCACACACTGGCACTCACACAGATAACAGCACATGGGCTAATTGGTTGCCTGTCTGACCCCAGTGATTATAGTATTATGATTAATATGCTAATGGTGTCGCTAGAATTAGAAATAAAATTATAGCCTACTTTTGCAGTATTTTATGCTTAAAACACGAGTAATTTATATTATTTTTTTATTCAGGGTACAGTTATCCTGTTTTATGGAAAAATGTAAGAAAACATTTAGTCACAGTACCATTAGTCATTTGATGTACAAGACGTATATTTAATATGGTGACGTTTTGTAGGGTAATGATTATACATACGATTTGTGCACAAATAAAACTCTATTTTGATACATATAAATTACATGTACGTTTTCAACGTTTACTTTGATCTTTGACTGACGTCGAAACGGAGTCAGAGGAGTCGAACGTGACGTTTGATTTGATTGACAGAAATGCGGTCCAATGAATGAGCGTAAATGGGGCGTGATCTTCCTGCGTAATAGTGTAACAGCGACTGTCAGCGAATGACAAGGTAAGTTTGTTATAGACATTCGCCTTAGCCAATAATAAAGAGAGAAGGCCGTTTCCCTTGGCGACGCGCAGCCAATCGCCGCTGAGCAAGAGGGCGGTGCTTAGACGGGTGGGTAGCAACAGTTGCCCCGGTGAGGACGAGGCGCCAGAGTCACGGTAGTCGTGGCGACAAGAACCCAGCAACGAGAATCAACAACAACAATTTGAACCATTAAGAAAATAAAACTCCACGCCAAACTAAGATCATCCGGCGGGAAGCGAAAGGTGAAAGCAACAACTTTATTTCACGCATCCTCCTCTTGTTCTTTCTTACAAGTGCCGAAGTGTGCTAGACACGATTTCCTCAGTTAACGCGCTTGAACTCGACCCCGCGCCTCTCTCACGCGCTGGCGGTTGTTATGACGATGTCAAATCTGCTACAAAATGGCGGGTGTTGTAACGTGAGCGCGTGTGACTTTTACTTGTTGTTGTTTGTTTATGGTGAGCGTGACGTCAGAAGCGCGTTTAGCCGACTTGATGACTGAAACAGACGAGTAGTTTAGGATCAAATGTCAAAGAGCGACTTTTGACTGTCAAACTGCACTCGACTGTGGTCGTTGTTTCGCTAGTCCGGTTTGCTGGAGTTTGTTTAACGCGAAAGACGATGGAATGCAGGCTTTCGGTGGATCAGACTCCCGGGAATTGTGTTTTCTCGGGTTAAAAACTTTGTTGAGGGAGTCGTCGAACAGCCATATGCGTGCCAGATCAGCTCCGGGGCGGAGGGGGCGTGGCCTGGAGAGGGGCGTGGCGTGGGAAGTTAAAAGGGCGTGATTGACATACGTCTATCCAGTTATGTAGATATACATACTTTGTTCTCTGCCAGCAATAAACAAAACACACATATGTGACCTAGGACCACAAAACCAGTCATAACTGTCAATTTGTTGAAATTGAGATTTATACATCATCTGAAAGCTGAATAAATAAGCTTTCCATTGATGTGTGGTTTGTTAGGATAGGACAATATTTGGCCGAGATACAACTATTTGAAAATCTGGAAGTTTTTGGCATAAAAGAAAAGTCTATCATTTTGACCCATACCATGTATTGTTGGCTATTGCTACAAATATCCCCGTGCTACTCATGACTGCTTTTGTGCTCCAGGTCACATATGTCTATGCAGTTACTTTGTTCTCTGCCAGCAATAAACAAAACATACATATTAAAACACACATATGTAAGAAATGTTATATATAATGTAAACCTAAAATATATACTTTATTATTATTGAGGCTAAATCATGCATGAAGATGATATTTTGCCATTAAAATCATTATATGGACCATAGAGAGAAAAGTAATATATTGCACAACATAATGTTGTGATTTATGATTTATCAGATTTATGTTCAAATAATGTTCAGCGAGACGCTTTATGACATTTTGCACATAAATTTGTCAGCATATTTCAAAATAAGTTATGAATATATAATGCTTAATTTTTCTACTATATATATTCTCTGCCAGTTTATATAGAATTTATTTAGAATAAGTTTCTTTATATAGAAACTTAATATAGATGGTATATTATTGAGGCAAAATCATGCATGAAGATATTTTGGCATTAAAAAAATCATAGCATTGATTATATAGTCTACATATGGACCAGAGAGAGAAAAATAATACATTACACAACATAATGTTTTGTTATATTTATAGTCTATGAAGTTTACTGTACACTGTGACATTTTGCTTGTAAATTTGACAGCATATTTGAACCTATGAATATATGATAGGTTCAAATTCAAAGGTAAATTGTAAGTTATGCATTTTATTTAGCGTTGTGTAACTATATACAATTTGTCCTCTGCCAGCAATAAACAAAACATAAATTTTAAAACACAAAACATACATATATAAGAAATTTTATATTTAATATAGACATAAATAGATGATATATTAAGGCAAAATCATGCATGAGGATAATATTTTGCCATTAGAATCATAACATTGACTATATACTATACACCATGGAGATAAACAATAATAAATCACACAATATAATGTTTAGTCACACAGGATTTTTTATGACAATAAATGTTCAGCAAAGCGCTCTGCGGCATTTTGTATGTAAATTTATTAGCATATTTGAAAATGAGCTGTAAATATACGATGGTAAATTGTTGAAAATGTGCATTTAATTTTCATTTTAAAGTATTCAGCATTGTGTCTTCAGGTGCTCTTGGTTTTCTTTTCTTTTTAAGCCGTTTAACACTAATTCTGATGATCAGAAGGTTCATTGTGAAATTTTCTCTCTCTCACAGTAACTTCATATGAACGAGCACATACTGTCATCACAAGACAGGGCACGCAATGCCGCCTGTTGCCTCTAATTTAAGGAAAATGAGAGTTCTGTTAAACAAGTTCAGCCAGCTCAAGGATTTATGTGCATCTGACAGGGAAAGAAAATGTGTTTAGTTTTACATGCAGTCTCACAGTAAACCACTGGAATGTACTCTATGTATAAGTGAGACAAAATGCTTGACATTTTTTCAGCTAAATTGTTTTTGTTGTGATTGATGATAATAATAAAAGATTCTAAATGCATGTTCTTATTCTGTATTCAAATAATTATTTAGTTAAGTTAAGCCAGCAGAAAGATGCCAGTGAATTTGCTTAGTAAAAAATAATGTTTTAATGTAAGTCCTTATTACAAGGCACTATTGCTTTTTATACAATAAAATATTAAGGCAAGACACTACAGGTGAATAGAGTACAATTCCCCAGTTGACTAATCACGGCAATCACATTAAGACAATTGTTTTGTGCTACAAGTTTGTATGAAATGTTATGTTCAAATATGCATATGCATGATCTAATAATTTACTTACATTTCCAGAAATTAGAACATTGGATAAAACCAGTTTCAATATTAATTTTAGAGCCTACTGTATGTATCACTTATCAAATCAGAAATCCCTGCCAACAGCCAGAAATAAATATATTTTTAAAAGGGGAAAAAAGTGTTTTATGAACAAACCCCTCAGTAAACACCTTCAGAATATAGATAGGAATAAAACTGTAAAGTTTGATTTATGTAGGCCTAGTTGCTACCAAAGTGGAGAAAAAACTCATTTTGAGAAAACAGCCTTTAAAGATATGTATTGTAACGGAAATCTACAGACGCAAATAGACGAAGTATAATAAAATAAACAATTAAATATGCATTTTGAATGTTTTCTTTCCTCTAATCTGAAACAAAGACATGTTATGAAAGCAAAATCTCAAAATCGACCAGTGCATGGAAAGTGTAACTGTGCAGGAATAATCTCCAGGGCAATACCATCTATCATTAAAACAAGTAATGAAGTCTACATCTGTTTGCTTTCAACATCCTGCAGGGCTTAATCCGCGCTTTTCATTTCTGTTTGCAGGGTGATTTGGGCTTTTGTCGTCATGGCAACTTCAGGCTACCCCGCTGAGGGGCTTCCGCCCTCCCAATCACAAGGGGGCAACGTCACGACGGCCTCGTCGACCTCGTCGACCCAGCAGAAAGCCACTTCCACCACCACCTCGTCCCAGTTCCTCTCCGACATCCAGAGCTCGCCGGGATCCGCTCCTGCGCAGACGGCCTCTATCATAAGAGCGCAGGCCACGCCCCCTGTCACTCAAAAGAAACCTGTTCTGACCACGCCCCCTCAAGGAGTCGTGACAGCAGCGCAGTATGTGGCAGGAGAGATACAAAGCTCCGCCTCCCAGTACATAGTGGTGACTGTCACCGGTGAGCACTCGCACTTTACTAGATACACGTGGACTTAACTTTCTCCTAGTTAGGACTGAAGCTGCAGAGCAGACCGCTGGTTTATATGCATTGCGTGTATGAAAGTGTGTGTAATGCGATCTAACAGACACCTGACACTTTCTAGGCCTCTCCCTGAATAGAAGGACCTCGAAATAAACGCGCAAGAGTAGCAGTGCGTATCGCAGCCCGACAAACACACACGTTCCCTTCTGCTTTTTATTTAACACACTCACACATACACACGTTTTTTCTGATGACTGAACGTTGTAACGCTCTAATTGGCAGCTGATATGACAGCACTGCCTACTCAGCGTCCGCAGTGTGTAGATGAACTTCTTACCGCAGCAGCTTTATTAACTGCCAATACTGAGACCTGACAGACTGAATATAGTGACCACAAAAAATGTGTATTTATGTCAATATCAAAAGAAAAATATCAGAATTAATATCAAAAGAAAAAATTACACTAGCATTGAAAAGTTAAAAAAAATTATTCAGAAAGGATGCATTAAAATGATCAAAATTGACAGCATATTTGTACAACATTTTAAATAAATGCTTTTGTTTTGAACTTTCAATTATAATGGTTTCCAAGTTAACATTGATAATGTTTTCAACATTGATAATAATCAGAAATGTTTCTTGAGCAGCAAATCAGCATATTAGAGTGATTTCTGAAGGATCATGTGACACTGAAGACTGGAGTAATGATGCTGAAAATTCAGCTTTGATCACAGAAATAAATTACATTTTACAATATATTCACATAGAAAGTAGTTATTTTTAATTGCAATAATATTTCACAATATTGGTGTTTTTACTGTATTTTTGATCAAATAAATGCAGCCTCTGTGAGCAGAAGAGACTTCTTTCAAAAGCATGAAAAAATCTTACTGACCCCAAATTTTGAAAGGTAAATTTGTAAAGTGAATTTATTTATATTATATGCATTAAAATTTGTCAACATAAATTACTTGTATATTTAAAATTCATGATCAACACTAATAGAAAATAAAAATGAGATTGTTATTTTAAAAATCTATTGTAAAACTCGATTTTTATTTTTTGTTATATAAACATCAAAATAAAAAATATATTTATTTAAATTACATATATATTATTAAAATCTCAACATAACAACATAAATTCCATGTATGTGAATATGAAATGAATGCTGAGCGATTAAAAAGTCTCTATATGAAATTAGACTAAAATGAACTCTTTTTATGTAAGACAATCAGCCTCTGTGAGCAGAAGAGACTTCTTTCAAAAACATGAAAAAATCTTACTGACCCCAAATTTTGAAAGGAAAATTTGTAAAGTGAATTTATTTATATTATATGCATTAAAATTTGTCAACATAAATTACTTGTATATTTAAAATTCATGATCAACACTAATAGAAAATAAAAATTAGATTGTTATTTTAAAAATCTATTGTAAAACTCGATTTTTATTTTTTGTTATATAAACATCAAAATAAAAAATATATTTATTTAAATTACATATATATTATTAAAATCTCAACATAACAACATAAATTCCATGTATGTGAATATGAAATGAATGCTGAGCGATTAAAAAGTCTCTATATGAAATTAGACTAAAATGAACTCTTTTTATGTAAGACAATCATTTCATAAAAGTATATAGCAGATGATGAACATTAATCTGCTGTATGAAAAAAGACGGCATCAAAACACCTGTAGAAAGGCTTTCGTTTAAAGCTGATCACAAGGATTGTGATATCACAGAATAATTTACTTGAGTAAAGAGATAAACTGGAGGATGTAGGAAAATACAGAATGGAAACCAAAGTAAAAAGCACAGGTAAAGTAAAGCTTGATTTCTCCTCTCTCAATCTGATACCTGTGTTTACCTGAACGAGAGATTTCTCGGCCCATCTGTGGAGATTAATTGTTCAAGGCCGGCCCGTATGAGCCTGATATAAAGAGAAATGGCTGCATGTGTGTCTGTGTTCAGATCATGTTCTACAGTAGCTGTCTGTACAGTCTGGATGTGCTGTACCGTAAGTGTGAGCGCATGTTAACTGATTTCGATGGTTGTGTGTTATGGTTTTGGTATTATTTCCTCCTGTAGGTTTTGTACTGAGCAAAACGAGTCTTCAGTCATTATTTCCTCTTTTCTGAGAGCGGTTTTGTCATGTGTTTCCTTCTCATTTCTGTTTTCTGTCTCTTTATTTTTCTCTTCAGTGTGTTTTCCTCTCATTGTGTGTGTCTCTCTTGTACACACGCACACACATAAGATCTGCAGTGTGAGATTCAAGTGTGAAGTGGCCATATTCTATACTTCTGCTGCATTCTTGTTTTTAATAATTTTTTTGAACCCAAAATGTTCCTCTAAACTAAAACAGGTTGTTGTAGCTCATGAAATTGAGTTCTTACGGTTACAGTATATTTTTTATGCAAATGAGTTTCTGTCTGAGAATCTGAGTAATTTGATGTTTATATGGCTTGTTTTTGGTCTGTCTGTCTCTGTGTAGAGGGCTCACTTCACTCCAATGACTCTGAATCGAATTCTCCTCCCGCGGGACAGACTGGCGTTCCCACACAGGTAGTGCAACAGGTGCAGACAGCACAGGTAATGCACACACATATGTTCATATGGGATATCAAAGCCATAAAGATCAAATTAATTCCAAAACTGTGGTGATTTGTGTCCGGCAGAGGTCCGTGGTTCAGGCCACAACCAAGAGTCAAAGTGGACAACTGGGGGTCAGTAATCTACACATCACACCTGAGGTACAAACACACACACACACACACACGAACACACACACTTCATAACTGCTTTAAGCAGAATGACATTATAACATGTCTGCCACATATATGGGAGGTCTCATCTACTGTAATGGGTTCTTCTTCAGTTATGTAATATATATAAGTTCAAACCTCAAAAGCTTGGTTTGATGAAAGTGCTTGCATTATATTTCTTTACAAGCAATGTCACTTGGTTTGATATTTCGCAATGTTTTTGCAATGTAGCAAGCAATAACTTTTATACTGTACATTTCTTTAAGTGTGTTTTGAGTGGTCAAATACTTTTTGGGTAGATTATTGTGTTTGTATTATAACGTGATTACTAGAAATAATAAAAAACATAATATATCTATATCTATATATCTATCTATATCTATATATATATATAGTCATAATATTAATTAAAATTATTAACAGAATTAATAAAAAAAAAAAATTAGTTACTAGATTTTTATTTTGATGTTTTATCTAAATATAAAATTGTACACAACAATGTATACATTTATGATTTTTTATATTATATATTAATACAATTTCAAAACAAAAGTCAAATCACGTCTATATAAAATTCTAGCTGACAGATTAAAAACGTTTATATGTAAAAGTACAGAATTTATTATATACATATACATACATACATATACATATATATATATTCTGTACTTTTATATATAAAAGTTAAAAAAAACTTGAACACACACACACACACACACACACACACATATATATATATATATATATATATATATATATATATGTTT